AGTTGAGTATCGTCCGCATATTGGTGGTACTTGATCCCGTGCCGGCGAATGATCTCACCCAGTGGCTTCATGTAGATGTTAAATAGGTATGAAACCTTCCCATCATCCCGAGGAGCAAGGAAACATGACTGTGGCAAAGCCACAGAGTCATGTTTCTGTTCAATGATTATCACCATTGGACATATATACCATTTTTTTAGAGTATAAGACGCACCCTTTTCCCTCAAAAAAGAGGGTGAAAATCTGGGTGCATCTTATACACTGAATACAACATCTTTGGCCTCCCGTAACCCCGTCCCCTTTACAAAAATGGCCATGCATAGCCTTTAGGAGACTTCCAGAGTGCTCCTGGGGTCTGGGGAGTGGAACAAATTGCTCATTTTTGCCCCCCCCCAGCCCCCAGGAGCACTCTACAAGCCTCCTAAAGGCTATGCATGCCCTTTTTTTGGACAAAAAATGGGTCCGTTTATGCGGAAAATGGGCCGTTTCAACAAAAAAGGGGTTGTTTTTGGGAGGTCTACAGAGTACAAAAACTTTTTTTTGTTTGCCTCTTTAAAATCTTTGAAAAGTACTAATTGGTGGTCTTTCTTCACCAGAGCCTACTTTCTCCTGTTGCCTTTGGATTTGGCTGCGAGTATGTTTCCCTGTATGAAGAACAGGGGATTGGATTGCAGTGGAACAGTTTCTTTGAACGCCCTGTGGAAAAAGACAACTTCAACTTGACCATAGCTGTATTCATGATGGTCCTGGATAGCTTGTTATATGGAATGATGACTTGGTACATTGAGTCTGTTTTTCCAGGTGAGTAATCCTCCTCCTCCTCTTTTCCTCCTCCTCCTCCTCCTCCTCCTGCTGCTGCTGTTAGTTTCTAAAGTCCCATCTTCTTCTCCCAGTGAAACCATTTGTCCAGAGGTGGTATTCACTTATCTTCCCTACCGTTTCGCAAGTGTGGGAACACTCAACCTTCCGCACATGTGCTTTTGGCTAAAAAAGGGCCTAAATGGGATGCCATAGATCTGGGCCAGGTGGGCAGGGCCACCCACAATTTCCACTACCAGTTTGGGTGAACCAGCAGAATACCACCTCTGCACTTGTCCCAGTGAAAGCCACTGTCCTGTGGAGGATGGGGGAGAATAGCTGCTCCTCTGCAGGGGAGAAAACAGAAAAACAGTAGCAAGAAATAAAAGCATCTGAAGTCTTTCAGGAAGTGTGGATGGGAGGGTTGAACTAAGGAACCATGATCAGAAGATAATTCCATTAATAATGAGAAGTGCCCATTCTGCAATACTGACTTCATAGCATTTCCACTAGAGAAGTAGCAAAAATCCAAACTAATTTGTTCAGTTGCAGAAATGGCTCCAAAGTTCACTATGGGGAAAACCAGACAGGAACAATCCTGAGATATGGGAAGTATGTAAAAACCCTTAATTGTGTGATTAATTTGCTCAGAGTTGAATGTGCAAAAACTAGAGGCTCGTAACTTTTAAGAAGATTTCTCAAATTGTAAGAGAAGGTATTTTAACAGTTCAGCACAATGAAAAAAAATCGTTTTTGAAGGATACATGCACACCAATGTTATATATTACTTTCAATGTTTCCTGCTGGATATATTTCTAGAAAAATTAATTACAAACATTCAGGACCTTTCTGAATTGATCTTACTGTAGAGATACAAAGAATCCCACTATATCATCCAGTCTGCACCTTAATAAATGGAAATAAAGTAAATTGAACTACTGGGTTACAAGTAGAAATTCTAGAAGGCAATCAAAGTGAATGAGAAGGCCGATTAAAAGAATGCATTTGTATATGTGATTTACAAATGGAAAGAACCTAGAATCAAGCAGATTTAGGACTTAGGGTTAAATTATATATGTAGCGCATCCCAAATCAAATGGGTTGATGAACTTGTGTTCTAGTTCTAGAATGTGGTTCAGCCATTTCAAAAGCATCTTTTCATACCTCAAATATTGTGACTGATTCTTTTGTTTCATGAAAAGTTCTTTGCATTCTGTTTAGGTCAATATGGCATTCCCAGACCTTGGTACTTCCCCTTTATGAAATCCTATTGGTTTGGTGAGGAATCTGGGGGACAGTGGCTCCCTTCTCATGCTGCAGGATCATCAGAAAGTAAGTGACTCATTTGCAATCTTAGATGCTTGCTAAAGGGGTCATCATCATCATTAGATACTATGCAGAGCACATTGGGCAGCAAGTGTTTTCCAGCAGTTCTGATTTATTCACATCATCTTTGGCATCATTCCAAGGGTCATTAATAATCTTAAGATCTACCTTTAATGTTTGGTGCCGAGTTTTTCAAGACCGATTTTGTTTCCTCTTTCCTCCAGGAGGTATCTAACATAGTACAATTTTTGGTTGCCGGTCTTTAGGCATACATAAGATATGGCCAACATTCAATGTTCATCCACAGTTCTCAATAAGTGTTCTAAATTTGATCTTTGCAGTACCTCTTCATTAGGGATTGGTCATGATATGAAGCATGGAGGATTTTTTTCAAGAAGAGGGGTACTTAAGGAGTAATGTTGGAATTTCTTTCAATTCAAAAAGGTTGGATCAGATGGAACATGGGCTAATCCTGCAAAAACATGATTGGATCTTAAGCTACAGTGTTGATGCCAAAATAAACTTAACCAAGGTCTGTTCAGAAATGGCAGCAAGATAATTCTTCCCAGATTTTTTTTTCTGATGGAAATCTTCTGACATTTCATAGTTCTACTTGGAATCAGTTAGATTGCCAACAGTTGTATTCCCCGGGATTCATAAAGGGGCTACATCTACATCATATCCCAACGTGCCCTATGAGCTCCATTATTTTTGGTATACATTATTGTTGAAAAAAACCACACACAATACCAGTAAAAATCTGATTACTTGCTTAGTTGGATTTCCTTTCTCTTTTTATAGTTTGTATGGAAGAAGAGCCAAGCCATCTTCCCCTTGGAGTCTCCATTAAGAACTTGGTGAAAGTTTACCGTGATGGCAAGAAGCTGGCTATAGATGGTCTTACACTGAATTTCTATGAAGGGCAAATTACCTCCTTCTTAGGGCACAATGGAGCAGGAAAAACTACCACGATGTAAGAGGGAAATTTGTTATAGAAGAAGAAATGACATCTTGATACATAGTTGACTGTGTCATGTTGGAAACTAACTCCTTTTCTATTATGTTTAGGTCCATTTTGACTGGCTTATTCCCCCCAACCTCAGGCACAGCCTTTATCCTGGGTAAAGACATCCGTTCTGAACTCAGCACTATCCGGAAGAATCTGGGTGTTTGTCCTCAACACAATGTCTTGTTTGATGAGTGAGTCACATTGCCAATCACAATTCCCTTGTATATCTACTCATTTATTTTCCTCGTTAGAAAAATGCATAGGGTTATGGTGGGGAGAGAGTATACATTTGCCCATATGTCTGGTGGCATAGAAGTTGGAATGCCATATTGCAGGCTAACTCTGCTCACAGTCTGGAATTCGATCCTGGCGGGTTCGAGATTGACTCAGCCTTTCATCCTTACGAGGGGCAATATACTGACATTGTAAACCACTCAGAGAATGCTGTGAAGCACTATGGGGTTGTATATAAATCTAAGTGCTATTGCTATATGAATAGCATCTGTGCTAATGTTGGCTAGTCCACCAAGTTCATGTTCTATAGGATGTATTGCTTTGCTTCAAAAATGTCCTCAACTTCTTGAGCTGCCTCAGAAAAAACATGATGGAACATTTTACGGCACTAAAAAGAAAACATACCAGAATCACATTTTTTCCCCAAACAGAACAGTTGTGTACTGTGTTGTGACACAGTAAATAAAGGCTTTCTAATGCATGTTTAGGTTATTTTTATTGACTGTTCCTGGAACTGGGTCCAGACAATAAATCATGGGTAGTTTCATCTGTAGTAGTTTTTATTGTTTTCTGTAAATATCAGTGTTTGGAACTTTTGGAAGAAACCAGAAGATAAAGGACAAGGCTAAGTAGTGGCTTTAACCCCTGGTTTATTTTGAGAGGAACAATCAAATGATTCATTCTGCCTATTACACAATTATCTGATATCACCGTCCATGGATGATTAGGTGTATCTGCTTGTAGGGAATATTAGCAGGCAGGATTAATGCATTGATAAGCCATAATTTGGCTTTTTTGTTTTGTCAGCCCCATTTGCTCCATGTAAATAGATTTACTGCCCACTGAAGCATGGTAAGGGAAGGGGAGGAATAATGATTTTTTTCCCCTTGGCAAAGAGAGTTTTGTGCAAGAACTCATTTGTATTTACAAGATAGAGCCCTTTTGTTTTCATTTGCTGACTGTGTAACTAAATGAGATTATTGGCAACTTTCTTCAGATGCTCTGACTTCAGATGNAGGGATGGGGGGAACGATGGCCGTTGTAAGACTGGTGGACTTCAATTCCCAGAATTCCTGAGCCAGCATTCTTGAGCATGACTGACTCAGGAATTCTGGGAGTTGAAGTCCACAAGTCACGAAGGTGCCATAATTCCCGAACACCTCTGACTTAAACACATACTGGATTATTAATCTGGATTTCAGGGCCGGTGTGAAAGGGTTCCAGACAGTCATCTCTGTAGAGTGTTGTGTTGAAACATGGGTAGTCCTTGACTTAACGACCACAATTGAGCCCAAAACCTCTGTTGTTAAGTGAGACTTTTATTGAGCAAATTTTGCCCCTCCATTTTGCGACTTTCCTTGCCACCGTTGTTAATGGAATCCCTGCAGTTGATAAGTTAGTGACGCGGTTGTTAAGCGAATCCGCCTTCCCCCATTGACTTTGCACGTGGGAAGGTCGCAAAAAGAGATCACGTGGCAACAAATCACCTGCCGTGTCTCATTCCTGGATGCCACCATCATGCCAGGCTCCACAACTGGTCCTTGACGGTCCCATCTTTCAAAGTGGGCCTGCATTCCCAGGTATGATGGTGGCATCATGGCCTGCTTCCTTTGCTGCTTAAGGGTCTGAGTGTTGTAGCCCTCCAGCAGCCAGCAGAGCTGACAGCACAGTCGGACAGTGGGGATGTTTGGGGAGGAACCTGGGCCAGTCCTGGAGGCTGGGAAAGGCTCTGAGGAGGGCTCTGCGTCAGAGGCACAGAGGGGGCCAAGGCTGTCTGGCAGTTCTCAGCTGCCTTTGGAACTAGACGGCAGTGAGGCAGAGGAACAGCGGGAGCCTGTTCCCAGCAGAGCTGCCAGAAGAAAATAACAGCTCAGAAATCAGGGTCGATTTGGGAGTAAAGTCATAGGTGGAAGGTGATTGGCCCCTCCCATTGGGAATGAAAGAGGAGGGGGCTTTTGCAGGAAACAATTTGTTCGTTGGGTTGTTAGATTCGTTTCAGGAGTGTGAAGATCTGTCCCAGTCTCTGTGCCAAGTCTTTCCTTGCACAGTGTTTGGACAATATCTACATGGCAGCTTTCCAAGCTAGATAAGGTCTGTGGTCATAAATATTCCTTTGAAAGACTGTTTGCCAGGCCTTGGCTGAAGGTGAAGGAGAGGATTTCACATTCATTTAATAAAAGGGGTTTTGTCAGGACCAGGACTCTGCCTCGGGCTTTTTGGGGAAGCCAAGGTCAGAATACTTGCAATCTGCTCAGCCCGGTTCCCACAGGTCTGTGACCCCGGGGGGGTGGGTGGGTTGGGGACCCCCCTGCTCTACAAAGAGAACTTCAGCAATCGGTTCTAAATACCTGCTGTTTTTTTTTTTTTTTTTTTTTTTGATGCCAGTCGAGATTGAAGGTCGGCACGGAGATCGCGTGTTTGACAAACGAGAGTTACGGTTTGAAGTAGGAGAGGCGGAAAACTACGACCTCCCTCCCGGCGTGGACAAAACGCTACAGAAAATGGAGAAGCTGGAAGAGGCTGTGGTCTATCTCAAGCCCAGGTGAGCCTTTTGCCCTGAAATGGTCTCGGCCGAGGGGCGGTGACTCTTGGGATGAAATGATGGGGGTGGGGGGGTGAGATGGGGGTTTGTGGGTCAGATGCTCTTCAGGGAGAAATATTTTGCTCCTCAACACCTCCCGTGTCTCTTACAGCTACGGGTTTGGAAGCGTCGGGAAACCAAAGTTTCAAATCCCGCCAGATGCCGACTTGCAATACGAAATCAAGCTGAAAAGCTTTGAAAAGGTAACATCGGGGAGCATTTATACAAAGGCGGACAGGAGGGGGGGGGATGGCCTTACGGAACAGGGGTGTGCTTAATTTTTTGGCAATTTCAGCACACTTACCGTACTTTTTGGAGTATAATATGCACCTTTCTTCCCCCCTCCCCCCCAAAAAGAGTGTGGAAATGTTGGTGCGTCTTACGTGCTTCTTATACACGAATACCGCCAATTTTGGCCTCCCAAAAACACGCCCCCGCATCCCATTTCTGCAAAAAATGGAGACGTTTTTTCCTGCCCCCCAAAATTGACCCATTTTTCACAAAACCAGGCATTTTCCCCTTCCCCTTTAGCCCTGCTGAAGCCTGCAGAGTTCTCCTGGGGGGCCGGGGGAGGACAATTTTGTTTTTTTACTTACCTCTTTGAAATCTTGGTGCGTGTTATAGTCCGAAAAATACGGTACTTTTTACTGAACGTTACTTGTTTTATTCAACATACAATTACAAGTTGTGGTCTAACACATGATACAGGCTTTTTTTTTTTAATGCAGTATGTTTAATATTTAAAGATGTTCGTCTTGATCTCCCTCGTCCCATCAAGTTTTTAAAGTTTGGGACAAATGAAATGGTTCGCGCAATTGGATTGTCCCCTCTTTCCCCCTTCGCTTCTGCATGGTATTATCACGCTGCCCGTATTTATTCATTTGCTTTATTTACAATTTATTTATAATGTATTCATTGGTATTATCACACTGCCCGTATTTATTTATTCATTTAATTTGTGCGGCTGAACCATCTCCCCTAAGTGACTTTGGATATGGTGAGCGTCAGAGGTGGTTTTGAGCAGGTTCTGACCAGTTCTGGAGGACCGGCAGCGGAAATTTTGAGTAGTTCAGAGAACTGATAAATACCACCTCTGGCTGGCCACGCCCGCATCTGTTCTCTGCCTCCGGAGCCCCAGCTGGTCCGGAGGAAATGGGGATTTTGCAGTATCCTTCCCCGGGAGTGGTGGCAATGGAGATTTTGCAGTAGCCTTCTCATGCCACGCCCACCAAGCTACACCCACAGAACCAGTAGTAAAAACTTTTGAATCCCACCACTGGTGAGCGTGCTTAAAATGCTACGATAAAAATGCAGAGTGTAAAATGAAAAATAACCCTCAAGAATAAAAAGGAAAACGGGCACCTGAGGATAATCAGCAATATTTTAGCGCCTGACCCCCGTACATGGGGGAAAAGCTGGGTGGGAAAGACCGCCTGGAAGCTTCCGGTCTCTCTCTGCCCTGAGGATTTCTGTCCATGGGAATAACTGCTTAGGACTTGTCTAAACTTGTTACTGGTTCTCCCTGACTCTCGGTTGTTCCAGTTTCACATTGCAATCTGGAGTGATGTGGTTGCTTTCCCCCGAAGTTCCCACGGCTTTTAACCGTCGGATCAGGTCCTCGCTGTTGCTAAATCAAATGTAGGAGCACCGCTTTCCTCTTCACCCTTCTAGGAGGCCAAATTGACATCAAAGAGTCTGCAGTTGTGGGTGGAGTTGATTTCCCCATAGATCCCTGCAGGTTGAAATCTCCCTTGAGTCTTAGATCCCATTATTGTGGCCCGTCAGCAGAGCTGGCAGCACAGTCGGACAGTGAGGAGGTTGGGGAGGAACNACCGGAAATCTGGTTCCTCCACCATAGAGTCTCCTCCTAGTGTGGCATCCTTTTACCTCTATCTGTCCTAAACGAAAGCCTTGTCAATTGTGGAGCCGATCGGAAAGCCCGCCCCTTTCCATAGAGTCTCCTGGCATGCTGTGCTTCCTCATCTCCAAACGGAAAGTCCTCTCAAAATTGTGGCGCCGACCGACAATAAGGAGCCGCAGCAGAGGGACGAAAGAGCCACATGCGGCTCCGGAGCCGCAGGTTACTGACCTTGGATTAGACACAAGGTCAAGGCGCGATGTTCGGTTAAAGGAAGACACCTACGGACGTCTTATAAATATGCAGTAGAATTTTTGTTGGTGTTTTTATTCATTACCGACCCAATGAGGGGGGCCAATAGGCTGTGATCTTCTCAGTCGAGTCAAACTCTCGTCCGACTTTAGGAAAAGCCATTATTAATAATCCATGTGGTGACTGTAGAGGATTTCCATAGGCGGTCATCCTTTACACACCAATTTTGGTACTTGTAAACATTTCAAAGGTTTGTTGGTTTTTTTAAACGTTTTTGTATGATGGAGAGGTTTTTTTCCCCCCCTTCCTCCTTAAAGGTTGTGGTTATTTATTAGAATGTGTCAGATTTACTAGTTGTGGCTCTTTTTTTTTTTTAAACACTTGTGAAATAAAAGAACATGAAGTAGCTTGACTCTCTTTTATTGTAGTGCATTATCAAAACAATGGCCATTCGGTATCTCTTGTGCATCCTTGATAAAACTCCGACGAGACAGGAATTAAACGGCAACTAAATAACTGGCTGGAGAACACAGACCAGAAGCCATTAAAGTGCAGCATTTCCTTGCTTACCGATTCACAGTTTAACAGAATAATAAGAGTAACAGATTTGGATGAGACCGTGGAGGTCTTCTAGTCCAACCCCTGCACAAGCAGGAGACCTTATATCAGGCGCAGCCTAATCTACGTCACCGCGCGCCAGAAATGGCACGCAAAACCACCCCGCCTGGATCGCGGCAAAACCCAGAAGAGCAGTGCTCCATTGTGCGCATATGCACTGGCACCAGAACGCCCAGTTTTGGTGTGGATGTGCCTGAGGAACGGCTGGCCATTGGGGCAAGCATGGTGCTGGTGCACACATGCTCGGCGGAACACTGCTTTTTCGGGGTTTGGTGCTCCCGCATGTGTGAAGGTCAGTTGCCTAGTGTTATGTACGGGCATAGGAACGCGGGAGAGGGTCTGGCCCATTCCTTCTCCCTTGCCCGCAGGGAAGTGAGTTTGGAGAGGAAGGGATTGCAAGAGAGTACATCTGTGTTTCCCACAGCTTTGGGTTGCTTCTTTAAAAAAAAAAAAAAACTCTTGCGATCCCTTCCTCTGCAAACTCACTTTCCTGAAGGGAGGGAATGGGTCAGATCCTCTTGCTACGCGTTGTTTGGAGAGGAAGGGATCGCAAGAGGGTAGATGGAGCTTATAGGACCATTGTATGATGACCAAGGCATGGATGGACCATCCCGGCAACTCCTCTGATAGTCAGAGGGTCACTCAGCGGTGGTTCTGACCCATTCCCTCCCTTGCCCACACAACTGAGTTTGGAGAGGAAGGGATCGCATGGTTTTTTTTTAAAAGGGGGGCAACCAAAGGCGATGTGATATGCAGATCTACTCTCTTGCGATCCCTTCCTCTCCAAACTCACTTTCCTGAAGGGAGGGAATGGGTTAGATCCTCTTGCTACGCGTTGTTTGGAGAGGAAGGGATCGCAAGAGAGTAGATGGAGCTTATAGGACCATTGTATGATGATCAAAGCATGGATGGGCCATCCCTGCAACTCCTTTCATGGTCAGAGGGTCACTCAGTGGTGGTTCTGACCCATCCCTTCCCTTGCCCACAAGATAAGAGAATTTGGAGAGAAAGGGATCGCAGGAGAGTAGCTGGAGCTTACAGGACGAAGGTCAAGGCATGGATGGACCATCCCAGCAACTCCTCTCACGGTCAGAGGGTCACTCAGCGGTGGTTCTGACCCATTCCCTCCTTTGCCCACACAACTGAGTTTGGAGAGGAAGGGATCGCAAGAGAGTAGATGGAGCTTACAGGACGAAGGTCAAGGCATGGATGGACCATCCTGGCAACTCCTCTGATAGTCAGAGGGTCGCTCGGCAGTGGTTCTGACCCATTCCTTCCCTTGCCCACAAGATAAGTGAGTTTGGAGAGGAAGGGACTGTAAGAGTGTTAAAAAGGGGGGGCAACCGAAGGCTGAGGGAAACGCAGATCGACTCTCTTGCGGTCCCTTCCTCTCCAAAACACATCAGAGGACAGCGGGAGCCCCTCCTCAGCCGGAGCCGAAGCCCTTTGCCTCCATCAGAAGGCAGGGCGGCGCTTTCCGAACCCCCAAAAAAGGGCCGGCAGGGAGACAACCGTCCCACACACACACACAGACGTCCACCGGCCCGGCTGCTTCAGGCCTGGCTAGGTTAACAGCCGAGCGTGAGGCGGCGCCACACGGCCAGTCAGCGCGCGTTAAACTCCCGCCTCTACCTCGCGGCTCTCCAGAACCTTCGCGACGGCCGTCCGCCCGCCCGTGAGGGAGCGCTCGGTAGGCGCCTCGCTTCCAGGGCCGCTCTCTCTCTCTCTCTCTTTCTCCCTCTCTTCGCGCACTCTCTCTTAGCTGCGCGCGCAACCTTTTGTTGCTTCCTTTTTTCCCTCGCTTCCTGCGGGCCGCTCACGCTCTTCCCTCCTTCCCTGCTGCGCGCGCAGCTTTTGTTCTGCGGTTTCTTCCTCCTCCCGAGCTCGGGAGAAGGAGCCTCGCTTCCCGGCGGAGGGTGGGGGCGCGCTCTCTGTCTCCTCCCTGTCACTCTCCCTGGTGCGTGCGCAGCTTTTGTTCTTATTGCATCCTCCTCCTCCTCTTTCCCAGCTCGGGAGGCGCCTCGCTTCCCGGGGGCCGCGCTCTCTCTCTCCTCTCTCTCATCTCTTTTTCCCTGCTGCGCGCGCAGCTTTTGTTCTGTTGCCTCCTCCTCCTCCTCCTCCTCTTCCCCAGCTCGGGTGGCGCCTTTCTTCCCGGGCGCCGCTCTCTCTCTCTCCTCTCTCTCGTCTCTTTTCCCCTGCTGCGCGCGCAGCTTTTGTTCTGTTGCCCCCTCCTCCTTTTCCCCAGCTCTGGAGGCGCCTTTCTTCCCGGGGGCCGCTCTTTCTCTCTCTCTTTCTCTCTCTCTCTCTCTCTCTTTCTCTCGCGCTCGCGCTGTCCCTGCTGCGCGCGCAGCTTTCGCGCTCCCCCCTCCCCCTCGAGGCGCCGCCTGCGGGTCCCGCGCGCGCGGCCGAGCACCGGAGCTTCCCTCACTCTCTCTTTTTCTCTCTCTCTTTTTCTTTCTCTTTTTCTCTCTCTCTCTCTCTCTCTCTCTCTCTCTCTCTCTCTCTCTCTCTCTCTCAAGTGGTGAACATTAGAAGACAAAGGAGTATTATGGGACAAAAATCTAATCAATAAATAAAACAACCATGCCCTCCTAATGCTGCATTATCTCCACTGGGATATTCTTATTGTACCCAACTTGATTGGTCTTCTAGAAGCTGCAGTCAAGGAAGGAAAGCATGTGACTGAGAAAGGATTGATTAGGAAATATTAGGATGGATAATAAATGGTCTGATAAGCTGTTATAAACCTTCTTTGATCTGTGTATAGATGGCTTTTTAATTTCCCCCTCTTACAGGGTGTTCTAAAACACCCAGTCATCATATTTTATAACTGTGACTGGGTATAAAAACTACGAATGGCCTATTCTAGGCATAGCCTCAATTTTGAAAATAGATGAACCAAATGACGCATGTATACTGTTTCATTTCTCACCCGTTTCTCCCTTTTGCCTAGGCTGACAGTGGAAGAACACATTTGGTTTTACGCACGCCTGAAGGGGCTGCCAAAAAACCTGGTGAAAAAGGAAATGGAACAAATGGCTACAGATGTTGGCTTGCCTCACAAACTGAAATCTAAGACAAGCCAACTCTCTGGTAAATTGCTATTATTCAGTTATTTAGTGTTGCTTATCTTATCTGCATGCCTGTAGAATATAAGGTTGACAGCTCTCTGGGCTGATAAATCATTGCTCATCTTTTGTAAGCTACAAGGGGACTTTCTAAACTCTTGAGAGAAGTTGTACATCTTTGTGCACAACATTCGATTTATTGTGGGTGGCAGATGGAGAAGAAAATGGGAAGAAAAAAGTATGGAGGGTGGTCTCAGTTGAGCAGCAAACGTGAAGATGCCTCCCGGACGGTCAGAAAAAAATTGGAGGAGAAGAAAATTGTTCTCCTCTAGATCCTGGGATTTACAGGATCTTCCTTGAGGAATTTAGTGAATTAAAGAAAAAGAAAACCAAGCTCTCATTTCGAGATGGCCCATCCATATTTAAGAAATCATTGCTATAGAATGGCAAGAAAAATCTAATGGTGTCAATTTTAAAGTATGTATATATGTGTGTATATGTATACTATATATAGTGTAGTGTAGTAGAGTATACACATGCATGCATACACACACACATTATCTATCTATCTATCTATCTATCTATCTATCTATCTATCTATCTATCTATCTATCTATCTATCTATCTATCTATCTATCTATCTATCTGCCCANGAATTCTTTATTGGCCCAGTGTGATTGGACACACAAGGAAGTTGCATAGGCTCAGTGTACATAAAAAGACAAGATACATTAGTCATGAATCATAAGGTGCAACACTTAATGATAGTCATAGGGTCCAAATAAGCAATCAGGAAACAATATCAACATAAATCATAAGGATACAAGCAACAAAGTTGCAGTCCTGTAGTCATAAGTGGAAGGAGATGGGTGATAGGAAAGATGAGAAGATTAATAGTAATAGCAATTTAGCCTCAGTGGATGGATTGACAGTGTTGGGGGAATTAGTTGTTAAGCAGAGGGATGGTGTTTGGGGGAAAACTGTCCTTGTGTCTAGTTGTCTTGGTGTGCAGTGCTCTATAGTATCATTTTGAGGATAGAAGTTGAAACAATTGATGTCCCGGATGCGAGGGGTCTGTAGATATTTTCACGGCCCTCTTTTTGACTCATGCAGTGTCCAGGTCCTCAATGGAAGGCCAGTTGGTAGCCATTGTTTTTTCTGCAGTTTTGATTCTCCTCTGAGGTTTGTGTCTGTCTTGTTGGGTTGCAGAGCCAAACCAGACATTGATGGAGGTGCAGAGGACAGACTCCCATCATCCCACTGTAGAACAGAACAATAAGCTATTTTCTATTTATTTTAGGCATAAGGGATTAGGAAAGCACACCCTGTACCCAGAAATAGAAAAAAACCCTGAAATTTGTTATTTAAAGCAGGCAAGAATCACGGAAGCCATTAAATCCAGTCTCCACCCCCACCCTGAATCCAAATTAAAGCATTTGGGACCGCTGTCTATATCGGTGGGAGATCATTTTTGTGAGCTCATCCCTATGGGTCATTCCTTCCCTTGCCAAACTGGCCTTCTGGCCACCAGAATGTTTTTTCTTCTAACTTTCCACGGGAATCTGCTTTCCTGGAATTCAGATCCATCGCTCCGTGTCCTGAACTCTGGACCCAGGGGAGAAAAATAAACCTTAACTGCCCTCCAAGCAGGACTATCATCCGGCAGTCACTCAGATTCAGCCTCCCTTTGTAGGTCTGGAAGCTAAGTCTCCCCCTTCTCCTCTCCTTGTGCCCGTCTCCAATTCCTCTAAATCCATGATGGCGAACCTTGTGGCACGCGGAGGCCTCTCTGCCGGCACATGAGCCGTTGCCCCAGCTGAGCTCCACCGTGCATGTGTGCCTCGGTTTCTGCAACAGCGGGTGTTGTTTAATCAAAATGCAGTTAAAACACTATACAAGCCATCAAGAATATATACATCTAACAGGAACAGGAAGTGCCTCAGGGAGGAGATAGAAGTAAATCCTAGACAGGCAGGAAAGGCATCACTGAACAATGGAGATGAATGCTAGAGGGGAATAAAGCTGCATACAAGGCGGACATATCACCTGTAACAGCGTAGGCACGCAGGGGGAAGCGTGGGAGGGCGCCCCCCCATTTTTGATCCCAGAAGGCTTTAGGGAGGCCTGCTAGTCCCAAAATGGGGCACGCACGGAGGGGGGTACGGTTTGTGCATGCATGCGCAGGGGGATGCATGGTGGGGGGGGGAATCTCATGCACGCACACTTTTGTCACGTGAGGCGAAAAAGGTTAGCCATAACTGCTCTAAATCCTTCTTCCCAAGGCCAGAGGGAAGCTGGCAGGAGACCATTAGTTCGCTTGATTAGTGTGAAGATGTACTCATCTAAGAGACTCCTTGCCAAGTGTTTTCTTGTATAGCATATCGACCTGGCAGCCCTCCAAGCCTGCTAAGGTCTGTGGTTGTCAGTTCATCTTTGAAAGACTGTTTGCCGGGACTTTTTTGGATGTGAAGGAGAGGAATTCACAGTAGCCAAATAAAAAGGGGTTTTACTTTTTGTGACAATGAGCCTGTTTCGTGATTTGGTGAACACGTATTTGCCATGGGTCAAAGGCAGGTGGGCCTTGCTTTAACAATCATTCATTCCGCCGCTGCTAAAAAGGTTAGCCATAACTGCTCTAAATCCTTCTTCCCAAGGCCAGAGGGCTCAGGAGCACACGCAGCCGCAGTCACTGTGGGTTCAGATTAAAGCCTGCTAAGAAAGAATGTCATGCTTACATGCGCGCTGGGGGGGGTGGTGTCGTGAGTTGCATTATGGGTGCGGCACGCCCGCACACTATCTCTGTGCTCCCCCCGCTTATGGCACTTGAGCCAAAAAAGGTTTGCCATCACTGATATAGGCTGTT